CATCTTTGGGCAATCCTCCAGGAGGCTTGGAGTAATATATCAAGTCAATGTTTGAATAAACTGACTGCTCGGATGCCTAGTGTTGTCCCTTATTATCAATGCAAAATGGTCACTAACTAAAGAGGATTTATGCTGATATTGCCCAAAAACCCTATTTTGTTCAGGCGTTTCCAAACTTTTGGAGGGCAGTGTATGTAGATCCAACAACAATCTCTCAGAGGCAACATGGGGTCTGTGGAAAATCAGGTGGTCAGATATTTAAAAAAATAATAGAATTATTGGAGGATAGAGCACAACATTTAATTATTTTATTGTTCCATTTCATGTAATTGTAATATAATTGCATAAGAACAGTGATTTTTAGTGTTAGAGAAGTCAGTACTGATCAGTACCGAATCTTTATTTATGAAGTCTATTCTGTTCTGCCTGATTAACCTGGATCTGGGTCTGAAGTCTGAAGTTGAGGCTGGTCAGATGTTTGCAGGCTGTGTGTGAAGACATTTTTGTCAGTATCTGAAACCTCTGGCTGCAACTTCATCGTTTTCAAAAAAAAATCTATTAGGCATGAGAGCCATTAACCCATGATACAAGACATACAATTAGGTCCGGAAGTATTTGGACAATAACAGAGTTTTTGTGATTTTGCCCTTATTCACCACCACAATGGATTTGAAATAAAACAATCAAGATGTGATCGAAGTGTAGACTTTCAGCTTTATTTTAAGAGGTTTCACAAAAAATATGGCATTTACCATTTAGGAATTACAGCCATTTTCAGCAAAGTACCTCCATTTTCAGGGGCTCAAAGGTATTTGGACAAAGTGACATAATTGTAAATATAACCATATTTTAATACTTGGATGAAAATCCTTTGCAGTCAATGACTGTCTGATGTCTGGAGCCCATGTTCTCAAAACTCAGATTCTGAATTTCCTCCCTGGAGATGCTTTGCCAGGCCTTCACTGCAGCCACCTTCAGTTGCTGCTTGTTTGTGGGTCTTTCTGGCTTCAGTCTTGTCTTCAGTAAGTGAAAAGCAGCTCTATTGGGTTGAGATCAGGCGACTGACTTGGCCATTGAAGAGTATTCCATTTCTTTGCCTTCAAAAAGTCTCAGTATGTCTCATTATCCACCTGCACTGTGAAGCGGCGTCCTATCAGTTTTATAGCATTTGGCTGAATGTGAGCAGAGAGTATCGCCCTATACACCTCAGAATTCATCTTACTACTTAATAAACACCAGTGAGTCCGTTCCATTGGCAGCCATACATGCCCATGCCATAACACTGCCTCCACCATGTTTGTTATACAGTTAGCTTTACATTAGCTGACTTAGATGCTTAGAACTAATTGTCACGTTATCTATGAGTTTTGGGAAATTCATTAAGTTATGTTTTTATCATAAAAATGTTTAATACAATTCAAACATTACAGTGTAAATGCTAGGATCAAGATTGATTTTATATATAACAGAAATTATAGAAACATTTAACCTAAATACATTTTTTATAAACATGGTAATGCCATGTTTGTTTGCATAATGATATTTTCTGTGCCACCCCAGAGAAACTGCTCGCCCCTGCCTGGCCACCCCCATGAAAAATCCCTGGCTCCACCACTGCCTCTAGACAGACCAGGCCTGAATTGCAGGAACCAATCAATAACATCTTGGTTACTCTTAAATGGCAAGTATCTGCTGACCAAACTGAATAAGAACACCCCCAGACCCCAGACAGTGGCAAGAAGGCCACAATACTCATTATATAGTATCCATTCTGGACGTCAGAAATCTGGGGTTCATATGATGCTCAATACCTGTGGGGTTCATATGATGCTCAATACTTGTGTATTCCCTATACGGGACCTTCATGAGCAGATCACCGCAGCCAAGATGAGCCTATTAATTTCACATTCAAGGTGTCTATTTTCACCAGCAGGTTCTCTGCCTTGATGTCACCGTGAAGAACTTGGCAGTCTCTGCAGTGCTGTGCAGCATGAATGATGAGAGCCAGCATGATGATGAGAGCCAGGGGTTCACAGAGCAGGCCAAAACTTACAGATGCCCATACAGGGACTGGGGTGCTCAAGGACCAAGATATAGGAATTTGGGGTTTCAACCATGAAGAACTCTGAGGTTACAATGAAAAACATTTGGCTTGGAACTGACTGTAGATCAGCACTCATCTGTAAAGCAGTTTAGAGCAATAACGTAGAAGTAAAGTAAATTCATTTGCAATGGTGATGAAGAAGTCCTCTGATGGATCCTTCGTAATCCGTTTAATTGCAAACTATGCAAAAAAACAACAACAACAACAACAAAAAACATTACTAATACAATTCTTAACAGTTCTTCCTTGTTTCTATAAGAATGATGATTCAAATCCAAATGTTAAGACATTACTGATATATATCAAAATGCTAGTTGTTGTTTTAATTTTTTTTAAAAGAAAGAACAGTTCTAACAAAAGAAAGAAATGTTCTAACTTTGAAGAAACAATGAAAATTTCAATCGTGTAATAAAAGTAAGCTATTTAAAGTCCTGTTCTTGTGGCTGCTCCTGTTAGGGGTCACCACAGCGGATCACCTTGCATTATCTGCATATTCATGTAGCAAAGGATTTACACTGGATGCCCTTTCTGAGGCAACCCTTCCCCATTTATCCAGGCTAAGGACCAGCACTCAGAGAGTACTAGCCTGTGCACCTCTGGTGGTTGGTACCATGGGGTGCATGGGGTACAAACCCACAATCCTGGGATCAAGAAGCCCATGCGCTACCAACTGAGCTAGCCAGGCACTGTTTAAGGCTGTCCTATTACACCTACAAAAACATGTTGTCCCTAAAATGAAATGAAAATGAAACAATCTGGACCTTCACCAAACGTAAATCTAGACCATAACCTTTCTCAGGGCAAGTGCACATGCAAAAATGAAGACAAATCTGAGAATAATGAAGCTGCCAATAGCTAAATTGATGATAAAGACAGCTTAATTAAGGATAAAGAAGCTGTTGATAACAACACTCTTGACTGTATATCACTCATGATGAAATATCATGCAGTGGAAAAATAATGCCAATACAATTCAGACAACCAGACTCTATTGCAGTATAGGTGTTGATTCACCCTTTTCCCATCTTCATTGCAGACTGCTTCATAGACAGATCCATAACTTCCACGCCCCTGCAGCTTTTCCAAGGAGTTTTTTTTTTATAATAAAAACATATAAGTGCTTGGGGATGAGTTATATGTTACCCAAGGCAGAAATAAAAACATGGAAGCTGCATCAGAGCGCTCACTTCCTGCTGCATGTATTGTAACATTTTTATTTGCATTACAATTTACTATTACAAAACAAATGTTAATCTGACCTGTAATTAAACTTGACCCACATTTACAGCTAAAACTGCAGGTTGCTGTGGCCATTTTTCCATAAAGTAATGTGTCCATCTGTTAGTTGCTTTATTGAGGAGTATTTAGAAAGGCCCTTAGCAGTAAAGATTTTTCATCACTTTAGTTTGGAATGACCTACAAAAATTCTCCTCCATTTCCTTCTTTTTTCATTAGTTGTTCTGTTAGTTATTGCAACCAACTGGGCTAATATGAGTATAGAGTATTTAAGCATCATCTGGTCACATTGTGTTTTATATCTACAAATTCTTAAACAGTCATTCATCAAAACTGAAATGTACAGAATAACCTCATATATTTAAAAAAAAACTTCTTCATTTAATTCTTAATTCTTTTTTACAGTAACAATAACAGAGCTCCTGATTCTTCTTCTTCTTCTTCTTCTTCTTCTTCTTCTTCTTCTTCTTCTTTTTTTCCCCAAGAATGACAATTTAAGTTGGTTTTATATATTCTTTTTTGGGGATGTCAGTAAATTTGCTACAAAGTTTTCAAATAAAATACTATTTAAAATAGGTCTTTTTTATTATTATTTTGTGCATTGTGTATTTTCCTAAATCATAATTTAGGAATTTTTTTTGCAGCGTGCCAATACCTGAACATGTAACAAGACAGTAATAGAATTCTTTAAGGCTTGAAGGAGAACAAATCATAGATTTTTTCCCCAAGAATGTCAATTTAATTTTAATCCCTTAGGGATATCAATAATTTTGCTGTATATTTTTTCAGATAAAATACCATTATTTTGCATGCTAGATATAATACTTCTACTACTACTACTACTACTACTAATAATAATAATGTAAACTTAGGGTGCAATAATTCTGCATATGTGTATGTAACATTACATTCCAGTTCCTGTCACTTGATTATAACAGAAAGTGAAATATTTGTCAATTATTTTTTATTATAATAAATCTTAATATTTTGCTATTTCAATGTCAATGCAAAATTGGACAAAGCACAACACTGTTCTACTGACACGGCTGTGGTGAGGGGCGAGACAGAGGGTCCTGAGGAGATGCCGCTGTCCTGTCCAGACTCCTGAACTGTTCTCCAAAGCTGCCTGCAAGATTTCAGCTCTAAGTGCAAACTCACAGGAGAACCTCAGCTGTTCCACACAGATTCAGCCACAGTGGTTTAACACACTGTGAATAGCTTAACTGCTTCAGACTCTGAGTCCATTGTAAAGTAGATCACATGGAGAGTTCTGGGTAACTCAAGTCAAGTGGGTTTTTATTGCCATTCCTCTATATGGCTTGTATACATCGAAACAAAATGTTGTTTCTCCAGGACCACGGTGCAACACAAAACAATACGCGAGACTGCATGAAGTGCAATTAACAACAATGTGAGACGAGTGCAGGACAATAAATAAATAGAACAAAACAAAAGATATACAGGACAATAAATACACAGAACATAGGCTGTAAACTGTGAACTATTCTGTAGTGAAGCAGTAATAAGTATAGCAGCAGTATTGGCAGCAAAAAAAAAAAAAAAAAAGTGTCCGATGCAGCTTTGTAAAGTGCGCTGTGCAGTGGTATATAGTCATACTGGGTTAGGTGTTTGACTAGCCCAGGTGAGTGCTGGGAGTAATTGAGTAATCTGACTGCCTCAGCGAAGTAACTGATGCATTGTCTGCTGATAGTAACTAATAGAAACTGATAGAAAAGAATGTAAATACAAATATAAAAAGTTCTCGGTATGTCGCCTCCACAAAAAATAAATCAGAACTGAAGGGACTGAGATCTTACGAATGATCTTAAGTTAGATTTCTTGCTGTTTGCAGTAGATTTATCCTACCTTGTGCATCCTGATTATGTTGCGTATGTTCACTGCCGTGTTCATCAGCACAATAAGAAACAAATATACGCAAATCTCACTCCATGAGATTATTTTATTTGAGATAATTGCAGCTGGTGTCTGCAAGAGCTTCCGATTATGCACTTTCCATGTCTCTTTCCAAAATAACTAACTTTGGGGTTCCAATACTTACGCACACACAACTTCAAGTGAAGTTTTTTATTTGTAAATAATTTTGCAACCTATAATGTATAGTTTTTCTGCCTATTTTAATAATATGGATTGTTTTGTGTAGATTCATGACATAAAATCCCGGTTCAAGGGTGGTGAATACTTATGCATTCTGCTGTGTATAATTTTGAAATTGGTAGCAGTTAGTTGACATGAGGGGATTTTTTGACATTTTTTGACATTTACGAACCTTCACTCTACCATTCTATGCCACTATACCATTTTATTCAGTGATTCAATACATTAACATGATGTGCCAGAAATTCAAATACCTAGACGGCAAGTTATATCTACATTTTTATAATCATTTCAGAATCCTAGAATATGTGAAACACAATTAAAACACAACATATGCAATATGTAACACAATACATTATGGGGGGTAAAACACACAAGGGCTTCCCTGGATGTGAATGAGCCCTAGGTGGTCCTTTATATGGTATAAACGGGTAGTGAAGGTTCAGTGGTTAAGGCTCTAGGTTCCTGATCAGAAGGCTGGGGGGTTCAAGCCCCAGCACTGTCAAGCTGCCACTGTTGGACCCTTGAGCAAGGCTCTTAACCCTCCCTGCTCCAGGGGCTCTGCGTCATGGGTAACCCTACGCTCTGACTCCAAATTCTTAACAAGCTAGGATTTACAACGAAAAGAATTTCAATATGCTGTAATGTATATGTGACTAATTAAGCCTTCGTCTAACAGAGGGGTTTGCAACATTTTGCCTTTAACTGTAAAGAAATCCACAGGCCCCTATTATAAAGATTTACTTAATGAACATAATGCCACTATTTAAATATTGTAATATCAATATTTAATTTATTAAATTATAAATATAAAAATATTTATCATTTAAATATTGTATCATTTAAATATTGTAATATCAATATTTAAGTGTGCACAGTAATATTTGGGCTCAGCATTGGAGCCGTAGAGGCTTTAGAACTTCCCACTCACAGCACACACATCCATTAAAATTGCCATTAGATTCCAGTTAACATTAATTACAGGACTATTTGTAGACTCACAACTCTGAGAATTTAAGAATAAAAATAGCTGTAATAATGATGGGTTGTGAGTTTTCCATAACTGTAACAAAATCTAAAAAAAACACAGATCCCTTGGCTATGCTTCACTGAGCACTGAGAACCATGGGCCTAATGGATGGGCTGGCTGTGCACATCACCATGTCAGTGTCACTGCTGTGCTAGAAACGATCCAGTATCCAAATAATATCTGGTGCTGTGTGATGGTGCCTTTCCAGTGATGAACAGGGCTGTCAGGAGCTGATATATAGTGCACAGGGCTACAGAAGGGCTACAGTCAGTAACTGTACACCAGCAAGAGCACCTGATAAAGGTGGACTTGAAACGGGAGAGATCCCAGGTGAAGTCAGTGAAATCTGGGTCTCTCACAGGTGATCTCTCAGCAGAGACACAAAGCAGGAAGATGGTAGGTTTCAGTGTGTGTGCACGGCAAATGGCAGTGCTAGGCATTTTTCTCAGGTGAGGTGAGAGGTGGTGTGAATATAACCGATTAACCCCTCTAAAATTTACCTCTCTAAAAAAAAAACTCTATAAAAACACATTTATCTTGCGTTATTAAAATTAGTAAGTCAACTCCAAATGCATACTTTACCAAAATATATTATAAAAACTTTATTCGGTCATATGGTGGTATTTATGAAACTAGCATTCTCTTTCTGTTAATTGACTGGCCAGTGGAAAAAAAAAACAACAAAACAAAACAAAACAACAACAACAACAACATAAAATAAAATAGTTAATTAAAAAAGTTTCAAATAGTTAATATGTGTGTGTTTATTTGTGTGTGTGTGTGTGTGTGTGGTCCGAAATTGGACTGAAAATCACCTGAATCTACACTAAATATTTATTCTAGTGGTGAGAAACAATGTCACAATTTAGCCACGCATTATTCCAGTTTAGCTATGGAGTTACAAGTTCTTTTTTTTTTCTCTTTATTTGTAATTTGACATTTAATTTCAGTTTTCTGATTAACACCCATGGCACAAAAATGTAATTTTCTCTTAACTGACATTATTTAACACATCAATTAACACGAACAAACCATGAACCTCAGCATTAATACATCATCAGCAACATTAACAAAGTAGAAATAATTAAAAAAAACAAAAAAAACCCAGCAACAAATAACCAGCATGAACCTGTGTTCACACTATCACTCAGTAAGAAGTAAGTCCACAAAGATCAATATGAACAACACTTTAATGAACATGTTCAAGGTTGTTTGAGGCTGAAAACCCAGTTTTAATATTTACGCCCAAGTTCAGTAAGTTATCAATAATTACGAACATCTCTAATAAAATCTTTGAACATTTT